CAACATAAACACATTCGACAATTTTTTTGTTAAAAACAACAATTTTAATAGCACACCATCCCTCCACACAAAAGCATNCTTTTTTCCAATCATCATCATCATCGTCATCCTTATCTTCATCAGCATCATTACTATCACCGTTCGCAACTTCTTCTTCAGCAACAACGCCAACCACAACAAAAACCTCGCCAACACAACAACAACAACACGAATTCAAGAAGGCGGTTATAGACAAGCATACCCATCTGGTTGATTTACTAATGGACAACCACGACGAAGACTGTGACTTAGATGTTAACATCGAACACTTCGAAACTGACCGTCTAAATTTTAAACTCAGCGCTAGGAACTTATTTGCCAACAAACAACAACAACAGTTGTTCAACAAAAACTTATTTGGCTCCAGCATCACCTCCAACAACAACAGCAACAACAACAACAACAACAACAACAGCAGCAACAGCAACAGTAGCAGCAATAGTGGCTCCAGCAATATCATTTTGAAGAAATTGTTGAGTCAAGATGACGATGATGACATCAATGACGATGACATCACCTTGAACAACAACAACAACAACAAAAACAACGATAAATTCAAAAACAACAACAAAAACAACTTTACAACGAACGAAAGCAACAACAACAACAACAACTTTCAAAATGTCGACAACAACAAAAATATCAACGATGCTAATAACATTAACAACATCAAATTTAGTGGCAGCAATTGTCTTGAAAACCGCCAGAACAACAACAACTTAGGTAAACATTCTAATAATGTAAATATTAATGTCAGCAGCATTAAAAACAGCATCAACTCTGGGGTGCTGTCGTTGTTAGCTGGCAAAAATTTTGGCGAAGTTTTCCCCGGAGGAATTTGCAGCCAGCTAAGGAAAGGCATGGACTACAACATACGCAACAACAACAACAACGTCACCAACAACAGCAACAACAACATCAACAACAACAACATCAGCAACGGTATAAACAATAATACCGTCATTCCTAACTCTAATGATGTCGCTTTTAATAATAACACTTTCAACTATAACAGCAGCAA